CGGATGCGTGCAGTCAGAATATCTGGTATCTCTCTCGCTAAGACAGTAGAACTTCGCGGTTAAATACCGCTCTTCCTCATTAGCATTCAGACGTGATTCTAAAACTACGTTCTGGAAGTGGTAAGTTAAAATTAAGAAGCGATAGGAAAGGAAGTTTAACTCAAAATTTAACTGTTAATAAAATTAACATAATCCTTACAATATTCAGAGAGTGATGTATGTATACATGCATCTGCGCTTAAATAAAGGGGGGGAAAGAAATTTGCTAAAATTATAACTTTTTAGTAAGAACCAGTTAATAAATGTCATAACGTTTCAGTATAACACACACGAAATAAAAAGAAAAATCTTATTTTGTTTACTTAGCGTTGAGAACACAGTATAACATGTACACTTTTAGAATGCCAGCTGTCTAAAGGACGTTTGACATGGCTTTCATGTAAAATTTGAACTAGATTGAAAATGCAACGATTTATAGGTTTGAAATGTCATTAAATACATAATTTTGTGAAATGTGGAAAGCTTGTATCTTTGTTTTAAGTATTCTTGGCATTAAAAGGCCATAATTTCTCCTAAAAAGGGAAGAATTGTCGATATTTGAAATATTTATTAGCAAGAGAAGAATTAATTATTTATTTATTAACAAGAGAAGCTGTTTAAATAACTTGTATATTTGAAAAACTGGGGAAAATATTTCCATATGCAGCAGAGTTCGCTTAAAAATGCTTTTTAGGAGACATAAAGTATCTTTAAAGCAGAAATAACCTTTTTTTTTTCTTTTTTTTTTTCAACATAGTAACTTTCTGACAATGTAAGACTAGATTTTACCAATAATTTTGAAATGAAACCCTTTATTTTAATTTTAAATTCAAATAATTCATTTAAAATTTATTAAATTTTGTTTTCAATTAAACTGTTCATTTAAAGCTTAATGTTTTTAATTCCAAGGAAATCTTTACAGACTTTTGCTAAATAAATTTTACTTTACGGTACTTAAGTGCTTAAAACTTACTTACTTACTTACTTAAGTGCGTAAAATAGAATAAAATTGACTGCAAATTTTTTATAAAATTAACATATTTTTCAAATATTTCATTAATTAAAGCTTTTATTTATTAATTAGAGTATTTATAAAAAATTGTGTAATAAATCAGTAAGGAAGGATATAATTTAAAAAGAAGAAAAGGGCCTATTGGTCTACTTTTATGTAAACCATCGTCTTTTGCATATCCAATAATAATACAATAAAACAAATCAGAGCTCAGCTTACTAAACATCATAATGATAGCTAATGATAGCTAGTGGCATGAGTTCACTTTAGAGGTATAGTCAATAATAGAAAAAACTATCACAAGTTTAATAACATCTATTTCTAGTTCAAATTGAGGAAATAAGTCGATTCTAAGGAATTTCTTTAAAACAAATACAAATACAAAAACAAAAAACAAAAAACAAAAAACAAAAACAAAAAAAACAAAAAAAACAAAAAATTCTGGAGGCAAGGGAATTTCTCCTAATTTTAGCATGAATTTCTGAAGCAGGAAAATCTTTCAAGAAAATATATTTCATGCGAAAATACTTAACATTATCAAAATAGAAAAATATCTGGTCATTTTTTAAATGAACTTTAAACCGGTGAGCGTCCTAAACGAGACCTACTTAAACGAATTTTACTCTGTTTACATACCTATGTTATTAAGTGTCATTGAAAAATTCAACGGCAGTAAAAAATGTTCTTTTTGATGATGCTGGGATGACTTAGATTGACGTGAAATAAACTTTTACATGTTGACGTGATGACAGAACGTATTTGCCTTATTTCAGTTTTATATGACTTCAAAAGAAAAATGTGATGGATGATCCACGGATGTGAAATTATCTCAACGGTGGCAGAAAATTTATTCGGAGGTGACAGATATTCTTCACGTCCGAAAAAATGACAGACCATTTTTTATTTTTTACTTCCTTGTACGAAGTAAAGGTAGTACTGTAATCGCGAAAAATTTCGAGTATCATATTTCGAAGAAAATACCCATTTTTACCGCTCTCAAATCCATTGGAACGATGTTTTTGCGTGACATCTGTACGTACGAAGAAAATAAAGGAATCTTTTTCCCAGAACGGATTTGGGCCCACCAGCGGCCGAGCGGTAAAGTCGCTGAACACCTGGTAGTTCGGTCCGAGGTTCGAATCCCGCGAACGGGCTGGCTGCATGGGCGTTTTCGTGGTTTTCCGCATGTGTAACGTGTATACGAGCCAGTTTCCCTTAGAAAGTCCTCCACGAAGGCATCCCTCCCCTTCGTCAGATAGCCCTCGAGGCTTTGCCATAATCACACACACACACCCAGAACGGATTTTAAAATGTATTCAAAAGAGACTTTTTGGTGTCATCTGTACGTACGCATGTGTCTAGCATAACTCAAAATCGAATGGGCGTAGAACGTTGAAATTTTATGTATGGGACTCTTACAACATCTAGTTTTGCACCTCCTATTTTTCGTTGCAAAAATAGACCTCAATAGGCCATACAGGGCAATCAGGCATATCAAACGTATATCTCTCTATATATATGTTCACCGAGTATATATATATATATATATACGTTTACCGAGCATATATATATACGTTCACCGAGTATGTATACGTATTAACGAGCCTGGTAAACAGAGTGGGAATATAGTATATATATTTGTCACATTGTTGTTGCAGATTTTTTATTATTCTTCCTATGTTGGTAAACTGTGCAGTTTTTTCTTTAATAGTGATTGAAATATGTTATTCTTAAGGTCAGGTTAAGGCTCTTATGCCACAATCTGTGTGCAGTAGTTGTAGAATTATCAACGTTTTAAAAGTGTCGCTAAGTCTAACGAAGCGACCTTTTGTTTACATTTGAAAGTTTTAGGATAATAGTGAATTAAGTCAGTTTTTGCAAATTCAGTGTCTTTTTGCCGAGTGTGACAAAAGTAAGCTTTCAGTTTTGTGCATCGAAAATTTTGTCTTCTTGCCCGCTTGCCGAATTGCTTGTTTTTGCGCAAAAACTCTAATTTTTATTCTAATCTTTTTAAAACTGTATTTGGTGTCTTAGATTTTTCTGTATTTTACAGTATTTAATGAAATTGTTTTGAGATTTTATGTATTTTTGCGAACTAAGAATTGAATTGAATGAATGAGAAATATAGCTGTAATAAAATTCGAGGAAATAAATTTAAATGAAGTGCAGCCAAAAATGTGTATAATTCAATAGGCCATACAGGGAAAGGTATCCACATCAGTTTTTTTTTCTTTTTATTAGAAGTCAGGGTTTTTGACTAAAACAATATATTTTTGTCACTGGCACGAAATATTAGGCTGAAATGTATTAAAGAATCAAAGTACAACGGAACGAACTGAAAATGCTAAATACAAAGCAGATATACATGAGAGTGTTTCAAAAATAATATCAAATTGAAAACTTTAAGATAAGCAATTCAGCAGCAGATATAAATGACCCATTATATTTAAAAAGAATCATGCTTGTCTTCCTCGTTGCCTGCACAATAAAAAATACTTTTTAAATGCTTTCTTAATTGTTTACATTTTTGAAGCAATGACAGGGAATCTTTTGAAAGAAGAATACTGAGACAGAAGAGGAGTGTTGAAAAATTTGACTAACTGCATTGAAATTTTTTGACAATTGCACAAAATTCATATTTCGTCTAGAAATTTGGCTCTTAACAATTTAACTCGTTAGAAATTAACGAGTTAAATTGTTAAGAGCCAAATTAACGAGTTAATTAAGCAATTAAAAGCAAGTAACAATGAATTTGCTTTTAACATAGTATTCGAACTAATCATATGATAAGGGTTATCTAAAGGTGGTTTGTTAAGCATTTATTTTCTAAATTTCGACGTTACAGCTCTAACAGCACTCTACTTACAGTACATCAGGGAGAAAAGGCTCCTAGACCTAGCTTAGAGTTAACATACACGATTAATTGCTCCAACCCCCCTAGAGGCGATCGAAGGAGGCATAACTTTCCGGTAAACCCAGTGGGACTTATATGATACCGTATGTATCATATAAGACTGCATGTCTGAGACTGTATCTCTGAGAAATTGCACATAAGTCAGAGGTGGACGGCAGCGAATCCACCAAAAATGAAAAGAGCATAGTAAATCGTAGTCTATCCCGATATGTTGACCACAGGGAGCCAAACCCTCAAGTACAACCTTCGAAATCTATCCATGTAACATCCTCATAACCAAGGAGCAAACAAGACTCTAGGACATGGTCCTTGCCGAGGCTGAAACTATACCGAATAAACGATGGTTATAGTCCTGTGAAGACTGATTTTATACTTCCGTGGTCGAGACTGCCAAAGTACAGTCTCGACCACGGAAGGGGGGCAGTCTACTTACACAAGCACCGACCGAAATCCAACAGCCTTTATTTGTCCGCTCTTATTGAATTACAACTAAGTTCTATGATCCAGGTTCCAAATTCAGTTGATTAGCCTCGATTAACGTTTTCCGGTTGTCTGATGCTAGGCCCCTGTAGAAGCTTGACTTTGGAGGTTTTGTCACGTGGTCCGGGTGAGAATTGAAAGTGCGTAAAGGGAGTGCGACTGTTTGCCACACTTGCAACTGCAGGCCATCTGACTGGGTTATAACTGAAGTGAAAATTTACAAACTAAAGTATCGATAACTTGTTACCAGTTGTGGTAGCTGTGGTAGCTTGTTACCAGCTGTGTTAACAATTAGATTTATCTTGACATGGCAACACAGACGAACGGGCTGATTGCTTAGTTTGTTTTTGCGGGAACACCAGCCAGTTTTCCTTATTAGAGAGGTGGACAAAATATGACCCGCCGGCTGAATGCAGCTCTTCTAATTGCTTAATCCGACCCGTTATGAAATCCCATGTAACTACATTTTAATCTCTTTCCTACTCCATTTTGTAATCCAATAATATCCAAATAATAATCTTTTTATATATCTTTATTTATTTATTTTTTGTATAGGATTATAATGGATTATCTTACGACTTTAGTTCTTCACCAGAAATTTTAGAGGGAGTACTCCAACAGCAAGTTGATGTCTGTCTTATAAAACCGCCTTCAAGAAACCCACAGTTTCTTATGGAAGATGCAGATTCATTCGAGTCATTTCAAGATAAGGTAATGCGAAATTTAAGTATAAAACTGCAATAAAATTCTTTCCATAACATTAATTTTAAACTGATCTAGTATCTCATGGGAAAAATCGTTAAAATGATGCATATGAAAGCAGGACAGAGAAAAGCAAAAAATAGACCATATGTTAACATTTTTAATGGTTCTCAGTTTTCCCCTTTTGACTGACATTTTCTTTATAAAATTAAATGTTTCGCTATTAAGCCAACTGGGTTACCAGGATCGAAGCATTTACGGCTTCCTTATCTAGGGTATAATATAAAACTTTTGTGTTCCTTTAGTATGTCATTTTAATCACGACATAGAGTGAATATACACATCTGTTCAAAAAATGTACGAAAACACCGTGTGAGGAGCGTGAAATTTTCGTTAATTGAATATGGCTGTTAGAAGGAAAGAGCATATGCATAAGGTGACATTTTAAGGGACAGCCTTGTTCGTGTTGTAAATGGTTTCTAAGCATTTATCAATCATTCCGTGCAATAGCGCATTTTTATCAAAGAAGTTTGGGTTCTGCGGATGATAAGCAGATCCCTGGTCACGCCACAACCGCTCTTTTTGCCCACGTTCCCTTTCCGTCTCACCAATGTTTTCTTTTATCAAGATAGTTTTATGGCTTGATGCAGGATAAGTCAAAATTAATGCCGGGAACTCAAAGCTATTCTATGCAAAATGTCATTAATGTACTTATTTAAAAGATCCATACCTGTAAAGGTATCATAATAAAGTTTTGAATGTAGTTCTCGCCAATATTCAATATATCTTCCTTTTATTACACAGCATAACAGGCCCCTAATGCAATTCCTTGTCAAATTTGTGTAACATACCTGTATCGTTGCTGATGATAGCAGCTTCAGTCATGGTCGTTGGTGTAAGTAACGGAAATCATGTAAAGATCATTGCCGGCTCGGCACGGCTCGAGTATTCGCAGTGTACATCTTAAAATTGAATAATATTCTTGTACTTTTCAGTTCTATTTGCTGACTAAGCTGCTGTGATGCTGGCTGCTAAGTGACTGAAGCGTTTTTCTTTTACCCTGTTAATTTCATCACCTAGTGGGCTATATTACTGTAGAAGGGTAAAGCTTTTATCCTGAATAAAGTATTTGCTTAACACAGAGTTGCTTAATTTGGAGTCAGACACGAATTAACATTACAGTTGGACTTGAAGGCATATACACGCGATACTTTACTACCCCCCCCGCAATCCGGGTCTAAATCCGGGGATCTTCTTGGAGTACTTTGTCTAGGGCAGATGAGGGACCATTGCACCTTTGCCGTAACTTACTATCGAGATGGTTCTCTATTTCAATCAGAAAATATGGTGATATAGCATCCTGATGCAGAATAAAGCTGGGCAGGTCATCTTGTAGCTGCTGCAGAATCCACAGTTGGAGCATATCGAGATACACAATTCCCGTCACGGTGGATTCAGAAAAATATTGCGGTCCGTAGATCTTTTCATGGGATATTGCGAAAGACAACTTGTGGTAGTCTGCGGAGCGAGACTGATTTATTGCTCGCCGTTGTTAAATATGCTTTCTTTGCTTTAAGCGGGGATTGGCTCATGGCGACATTTATGGGTCGATATCAAAAGCGTAGTGCGAGAGACCTCGGTGGCTTAAGGTACAGAACTCGGGTCTGCTTCATGCGAGCAGAATTCTTTAAATGCGAGAACTAAAGCCTACGAGACTAAAGCATTGGAGAGCTGAACATTAACTGTTGGACATCGCTGCGTTTTAGATTTGCCAAAAATGATGCTACCCGATAAATGGCACCAGTAAAGTTCGATGTCCACTGATGTTATGTTAGTATCAAGGCCCAAATACAGGACGTTTCTGGTCGTGGCATGACAACGGAAACGATCAAGGTGAAAATGTACTTCGTTCTAAAAGATTGAATAAGCCATGTCTTCTCAGCGAAGAGTGAAGTCGCCTCAGGGCCAACTTTCCAACAAAATCCGGAAAGCTGAAGCAAATATGTGGGTCCAATGAATGTTACTTCAAAAGTGATAAGTAATGATTTTTACAAATACAAGTATTTATGAGGAATTTTTTGAGCTTCAGAGTATTTTCCGGTTAAGCAAAATATCAAAAAATGCCATTTTGTTGCACAAAAATGTATTAAATTATGACTTTTTACAATAAGCTAGGTAATAATAAATAAAGTGGTTGTAAGTGGATAATAAGGTGGTTTTTCAGGATAGTAATCACCTTTAGTTTAGAACGCAAGGAAATCTACATTCACCGTAGGCGTACGATTGATCTAATTTTGAAGTTATACTTGTCCTAAGTGATAATTTCACAGGTATGTTCTGAATGTAATTTATAAAATCATACGAGAACTTTGGCAATTTTGTCTAAAATATGACAGAAAATTTATTTCGTTTGAGTTAATTAACAATACATTCCAGAAATTCGAAATTGATGTCTGAAATTTTAAATTACCATATTATATTAAATTAATTTTAGAAATTAAGTGTTTGGGTTGGTTTAGAACAGAAACCAACCCAAACACTAGAAAGCATTAGAACAGAAATGAATAACCTAAAAGAGCCAAAGTGTGTTCATACACTTAACTTAAACCCTCCTAAGACTACGGAACTTGTTTCTTTTAAAATTGCCTTGGCATTTTTTAGAACATATTCTTCAAAATACCACTTAACACTAGAATCATAATTTTAATTTCATTAAATAAGATGCTGGTTATTATTTTAGAAATCAGGTTAATTCGTAATTTATGGTATAAATCCCTTTTCTGATAGCCTTAATGGCCTGAAAGCTTGTAAGAAATTTTCTAATTTTCTCCTTCCTAGCATGTCTTCGTGACGTAGTTGGAAGCCCATCCATTTAACAATCGGGACATCCGGAGTTCGAATCCACGCAAGATTGTAGCTGATTTTTCATTTCCTTGCTCCAAAAATTCTAAAATGTCTTACAAATGGCTTTCGAATTAAAAGTGTGGTGAATGATAATTCGTTATCATCTGGAATTTGGAAGTTCTTTGGGTGAGAACGTAAGGATTCATCTTTTGGTAACTGCTATAGAATAGCCTTGGCATTTTCTTAGATAGCCTGAGGAGTCTGAATATTTTGACCCCTGTAAAGCAACTGAGAAAGCATTGGAATAAAAATTCTGGAAAACGTCTGGGAATCAGAGAACATAATTGTAGCATGACAGGAATCTATTTTTGATGAAAGATACACTAGTTTGATCAAGAAAGCTACTTTGCTCAAAAGTGTAATGCTGAAAATGTGATATCATGTTGAGTGTTCAAAAGGTGCTTTAATATCGTTTGCACAACAATAGTGCTGTTTTGAGTGATATTACTTCATATACTGTATCACCTAGACAGAATGCAAATGTCCTTTACAACCAAATTCTATTATGGCTAGCTTCATCCATGCAACATAACATTTCTCTAAATGTTTTGAATATATATATATGCATGAGCTTCATATGTTAAAAGTGGTTAATAATTGTGTAAATCCCACAGTTTGAAGTAAAATTAATGTTTCTTGTCCAACTATTACAGGATGAGTGACAATGTTTAGTTTCACTTAGTATTCTTTATCACTTACTGAATTTTATTGTTATTAATGTACTTTTATACTTATGTGAATGAGCTATTTTCCTTTACTCTCCAGAAAAATTATTCAGAGTGGAATTTGCAAAGTTAACATAAAAGAAGTAGAAAAATGTTTATAAATATAACAATGTTTATTTACATTGATAAGCATTTAATATTGTTTTGTAGGGAAATTGTTCAAATTTACAATCTTCTCCTTTCGTTTGTTTATGTGACGTCAGCATTACATGAGAGTTCTTGAAACCTGTTCCTAAATATGGCACTTATAGGGTAGGAAAATATTTTTGTATTGATGGATATACAAAACAAATTCTGTTACTGTCGTACGATAACTATTATAATTCAACAAATATAGCTTATAAGAGAACACGGTAGGGATGAAAATATATCTTGATTTTGGATTGGTCTAATATTAAGTTTTTGTTCCTCCCCTTTCTAAACAAATTAGGTAATCTTAAAGAACGCATTACGGCAGTTGTTGCGACTGTTGGAAATGCTTGCATGTGTTCGACAAGAGCTTGACTGTCTCATTGATATCTATCGTGTTACAAAACGGTAGCATATAGAATCTCTGTATTTTAGTCATGTAAGTTTGAGAATATATTCTTCTAACCGTGAAAGTTCTAAGGTTTATCCTAAGTTTTTAACAGTTATCTTTAGTTAAAGCTACTTTCTTGTCCCTTCTAGGTTTAGCTTACAAATTTCCTGCCAGATAGTTTTTAGAATCGCGGTTAATGCAAATGAAGGAAGAGCAGTACTTAAGTCGAAGTTCCACTGCGTTAGACAGCCAGAGATTCTGACTAGCGCGCGTTTGCATTTTGGTTACACCCTGTCTAAGCTATTACTACGTTCGTCCGTATTTCAGGCCCTTGATAGCTTCGCCGTTTAGTTAGCATTTAGGGGCCAACTCCTGCAGAATTTTGATAGCTTCGGCTATATCTTTTTAGTTAAGCATTAGTTAAGCTTGATTTTATTAGTACTCTTGAGTTCAAGCCCAAGTGGAGGCTTTTCTGTACGTCCGGAGAAAAGGGCCATCTGCTAACCCTTACTTTGAGCAATAAAGGGTACTAACCCTGAGTTTACGTTTCTGTTTCCAGAGCTAAAGCGATTATTCGCTTACCAGTTCTCAAGGTTCCACACACATAGCTGTAACTTCAAAGTTGGAATCCTATAAAGTACACTGGTGTGCAAAAATTAAGGACGAAGTTGAAAAATTAGCATATCAGCTGAACGAAGAGGCAGAGCGGACAGAAAGACCAATCAGGAGATTAAGTAAGGTGATGTACGGTAGCACATGCGCAGATATGCAGGTAGACGTAATGGGGGAGTGTCTGAGTAGTATAAAGCATGTTGTCGGTGTAAGATCAGTATTTCTGGCAAAGAGATTGCACGCCGTTATAGCAGTTAAAATCACACCGAGTTGCTGCCTCAGCGAGAAATGGCGAATAATCAATCTGTTAGACGACATCTGGATGCTTTTACCCGAGGTCGAATCATTGGGAAGTTGGAGGAAGGCCGCAGTGTGACAAGTGTGGCTGCAGAGTTCGGAATTGCTCACAGCATCGTTTCACGACTTTGGAGACAATTTCAAACTACAGGAACAGCTATCCGGGGGTTTAGTAGTGGTCGTCCACGAGGAACCACACCCGCAGATGACCGGTATATTGCCTTACAGGCCAGAAGAAAACAGGCGGCAGACAGCGGGAGAAATCGCTAGACACACGACACAGGCGACTGGACGACCGATATCGCGTTTTACCGTGGCCAGAAGACTGCACGGTGGTGGTCTGTTTGCACGACGCCCTGTACGGTGTGTACCTCTAACGCCTGCCCATCGGAGAAGGCGTTCTCTGTGGTGCCGGGAACACCGGAATTGGAGAGACAATGAATGGGGACGAGTACTCTTTACAGATGAGAGCAGATTCAGTCTGAGTAGCGATTCTCATCGCATACTCATCTGGAGAGAGCGGGGAAGCCGCAATCATCCCTCGAACATCATTGAAAGGGACAGGTATGGAGGTGGCGGTGTTCTCGTTTGGGGAGGCATCATGCTTGGTAGTCGTACAGACCTTCACATCTTCGACGCAGGTTCAGTCAACGGGACCCGTTATTGTAACGAGATTCTTCTTCCATATGTGCGTCTTTTTAGCGGCGCTATGGGTCCGCAGTTCCTTTTCATGGACGACAATGCACCATGTCATCGCACAGTAGCTGCCGAACAGCTCTTAGAGAGTGAGGATATTGAACGTATGGATTGGCCGGCACGATCTCCGGATCTCAATCCCATCGAGCATGTATGGGATTTTCTAGGCAGACGCTTGGCAGCTCGTACCTTACCACCAGTAACGATTCCGGAGCTTCGATTGGCGCTGCAAGACGAATGGGCAGCAATGCCTCAACAACTCATTGACACCCCAATTCTCAGCATGGGCAGACGCTGTGAAACCTGCCTAGCAGTCAGGGGAGATCATATCCCCTATTTAAAGACCGGATGTTTCTTGCTGGACACCCATCACAGGGATGTTTCGGTCTTCAGTCGCATTGCGCTCCATGCTACTTTTTCAATAAAGCTTCTTTTTATCCCTCTGATTTCTCTTTTAGTAAGTGTTGCTTAGATTACTCATGTCCTTACGTATTGGGGATCTTACGGTATTAAATGTGTTGATTTGGAAAGCTTTTGTACAAAGTTATATTGAAAAAAACCGTCTCGTCCTTAATTTGTGCACACCAGTGTATTTCAACCATGCTATTATAACTGCTGTTTATAGAAAACTCGATATGTGTCTGTTTCATTTATGTTAACTCTGTATTGTACAAATTCAATATGCATACAAAATCAAAATTTTGAAAAAAAATTGTTTTTTAAATTTTCAGGCAACAAAAGAGACTTCCAGGCATACACTTATAAATACATTGGCAATATTCAGTGATGTTATGGAAGTTATGGGAATTAAAACTGGAATAATCGAACCATCCATTCTATTCTGCATGCTTACGTGGCCGCAAAAGCAGTTACTGATGAAGAGAAATTTTAACGTCAGCGATGTAGTAGGCTCTCAGAATACAGTCACTCTAGGTATTTTTGCAAAAGATGCTGAACTACTCGAACAGGTAAAGTTAATCTTAGTCTCATTTTTTTGTCTGCGAATGTATCTTGAATTTAACTTTTGATGATAAAACATTACATTGAAATGCTACATTATAAGGGGATGGCCATCATTAAATTAACAGATAAATTTCCTAGTAATAAAATTGGACGTGGAGTTTTGTTGATTGAGAGCTTTCTTAACATTATAAGAATTCTTATTAAAGAGAAAATTAAATTTATTTTTTAATGCTCCAAGCGGATTAGCTTCATGAAAATGAAACCAAAAAGGACAGCTTAAATTTTGAAATCTTAGCTAAATGAAATCTTCTTTCGGATTTATGCAATGGTCGTAAACCATGATTGGAAACTTCTCTGGATATCTTTGGAATAGGAGAGTTTTGGATTCTCTACGATTGGAGATGAATGTCCTTTTGATCATCATAAAGAAAGAAAGTCTAATTGCTAACTGATACCTGCGTGTGAAAAGTAGGCCTTTAAATGAAGAACCTCATATTCCCCTTTATCAATGAGACGAAGGAAAAGAAAGAGTGTGGCGAAAACAACGTTAATATTTATTTCGATATGAATCAAATTGTGCCTCGGTATTTGTTTCCTTCAAATTTAAAAATCAACGTACAGGTTTCTTATTATGTTTCGATGCAGTTAAGATTTTCGAAGCAAAAGATCCTGGAGTGGATTGATATGAACTGGTTGCCTCACTACGATAATGCGCCAAGCATAAGTATTGGTTGTATATACGTAACGCAGGTATTGGTTACGTAACGCAGTTAACATACTGTATTCTATTGAGTGAATTCCATTGGATTCGATTGCATTTTATCGCCTATTTACATTGCTGTGTCCTGTTGTATATTACTGTATCCTTTTGTATGCTATTACACATATAATATTAATACCATTTAGTGTAATCGCGTGATCTACAGTGTTATAACTCTCCTTTGCCAGATGAACAATGGAAATAAAATTGCAGATATACAGTCCCCTTTACTTGCCTCCTGTGGACGTTTGCCCGCTGTTGTCTTAGTCGATAGTGGCGGATGTGGGGCATAACTGACAAACCTATAGTAAATTGACGGTACCACCAATCTCTGTCAACAGTCAACAACAGCCATTCGGGTAAATACGGAATTTACCAGTAGGACAGCTTTTCTAGTTACAGATCCGGCTGTCACTTATTTAGAGGAATATTCCGTTGAATTCTTCTTGCTGAAATGGCACCGAAAAATCCTAGATTTAAACTCTATTAAATACCCTTGAGATAAACCAGAAAAAAGCGATGTAATCACATCAACAACCGTCATTGACTGATTCATGGAATATTCACTAAGACTAACTAGGCAAGCCATACCTTTTGGACAATTTCCGGAGATTTGTCGAATCCATGTCTCGTTATACTGTAATTGTTATCAAGGTGAAAAGAGCAGTAACTCATTAGTAAGGAGGTACCCGTAATTTGGCAGCACTTCCGTGTATAATTTATTATCTATTGTCTTTTATGAAATAAAAATTAGCACATGTATAGAATTTTAACACATTTTTATATCATGGGACTTAAAATTGAAATTTTAAAATTTTACGTCAATCGTACTCAAAGCAGCATTGATATAGCCGAAATGATCCTTTGAGTGACTCAGTTTACTTGGACTGAAAATTACGACATTTACCTTGCTTATGAATGCTAATTTAAAACCCAAGCTTATGGACTAATGCTTTCTGATGTAAAAGGTCTTAGCATACGAAGGCATCATATACATTAATTTAAAAGTTTAACTTGCGTAGCTGTGATAACCTATATATGAAAATGATCCTCCAGTTTAAAACAAGCATATCTCGACTAATTTTAACGCTATGAAGATTAATTTTTCAATTGATTAATTTAGCTTTGGAAACTGTTTTCCCTCGAATAGTTTTTTGGAAGCTTATAAAAATTTAAGTTTATTATATATTTACTTAAATATATCACGTGATAAAACATTTTGCATAGTGGAATTCTACCTTATTTTATTAATTCTTTAAATTAGAACCATGGATCTATGGCTAATTATCTAAGACAGTGTTGCATGCTATGGATTAGTAGAGATCTGGTTAATGACCACACCAAAGAACAGAAAGAAACTGAAACTTAATTGAAATAAATTATCCAACAGAATAAACAGATATAAATAGTCTAAGGATTACAAAAAGAAAGCGGAGGTAATGCAAATTCTGCTTTAATGCGAACAGTATTCCAGATTACAAAAATTGCTCATAGAGCAAAGTCTGAAACAATAATCATCAAGTAACAGCTCGATGCTATCGCATGACTTTGATCTTGTAACGCAATTACTATTTATACGCTTGCTCAAAGAGAAGGGTTTAGGTTTGGTTTGCTTCATTTAACTTTGGCAAAGCGCTCGAGGGCTACCTGCTTAAAGGGAAGGAGGCCTTCGTGGAATGACTTTCTAAGGAAAACTGGCTCGTATATGCGTTACACATGGAGAAACCATGAAACCGTCCATGCAAACAGTGCGTTCTCTGAAAATCGAATCCAGGATCGAACTACCAGTGTTCAGCGATTTTACCGCTCGGCGGCCGTCTCCAAAGAGAAGAGTAAGCTTTTCGGGAAAATTCGTGAAAAATCGTTCCCATGTCTTCCAAAATTTCTTTTCTGGAAAGTTCCAAAATGTTGCTAAATTGACAGAAAATTGCTACATGTTGCCAGCGTGACGACAGAAATAATCGCAGGATGGTTCCTGTTCATATCTGTGGTTTGAAATAAGCTTAATTTATGGTGTCGTCATTGGTTAATTCAGAATTAAAATATGTATGACATGATGCATGGAAGAAAAAATTCTTAAAATGCAATAAACCCAATAAATTATAAAGATTTATATTAATATATTTAATTGCATGGTCTTTTTAAAGCATCTTACAAAGCTAATGGTAAAATTAGTAACCGACAAATTAACCAATTCTTTAAGAAGGACATGCAGTTAAAATGTGTAAACTGTTAAACTGAAATTTCATTGATGAGAAAAAGCCATATCATTGACTACGAAAATGTCTGAGTTTAACGGAAATTCAAGATGCTTGATTTGATACTTATAGTACCTTTATATGGGTTTTACAAGGGTTGAACATCCCTCACGTTAAAATCTTATTTAAAATTACAATATTTTCAGAGAAAACAACTGAATTATTTCTAAGAAGGTTTCTTGAAATAAAATGTACCTTTTTTGTATTTAGTAGCATGTATTTATAATGAAAAATTACTTTTACAGGATCCAATTCAGTCAAGCATCAGGAGTATGGGGTTTCAGATTGTACCTGTCAAAGAACCGTTACGTAATTGGATGCAGGAAAAAACCAACTTTCATCGCAACAAAACTTTCACAGGGCATATTTTCTACAAAAGAGGAATACATTTAATACATCTGGTTGTCTTTCAAGAACGGGCCACTTATCTTTGGCATGCAGGCCTTTCGGAGCAGGTGAAGAGCATTCTTCCACTTCAGGACCTTCTGTTTGTGGATGCAGATTCCTCATATGAAAAGTAAAAATTAAACTAAAATTCATGTAATTAACTATTTATTAATTTTCAGAAGTTATTAAAAATGATAAAATTAATTACCTAGTATTACCTATTAATCTTATAGAAAAGGAATGCGGATTCTTCTGTCTGGCAATAATCGGCGTTCTTTACACAAAGGCAGTAAAATTACGATATTCGAGTAATGAATAACTCGGCACACCCGATAATCCAACATCACTTTACTGACATTCCCACTATAAAATGGCACCATTTCATCGGCTAAAATTCGGAAAGGTTTAGTTGCTTAGTGTCTTTTTGCCATTTTCATTTAATCTGTTTCTTCAAATTCCAGATTTTGCAACCACGTTTTCTTTATTTAGGTTGTTTTCAAAACTTGACAACAATGCTGATAAAGGAAGCAACACTATTTTTTTTTTTTTTTGAGGCTATTTAACCTGCTGTTCCAAATTTCAGGCTTGTACATCTTTGCTTTCTTTCTTTATTTAGATTATTTTCAAAACTGAGACATTAGGATTTTTGGAAGCAGGAAAGATGAAAACTAGCAATCGCCTTCGCCGGGAATCGAACCACGGACCTCTGGAATACCGGCCCAACGTGCAGAACCACTACACCACGAAAACACGCTAGGAAAGTGGGAGAAATACCTTATAACTTGACAACAATGTTGATAAAGGAAGAAACATTAATCTTTTTTGCCATTTTTATTTAATCTACTGTTCCAAATTTCAGCCCTGTATATTTTTTATTTCTTTCTTGATTTAATTGTTTTATATATATACACGTTTCGACAGCATTTGGAATAATGTCACTTTGGCCTGAAAATATTTAAAAACAGCATTATATTTAGAATTTCCTATAGACAGGCTCATGCGCTGGACATAAAATTTCGTTTTTTCGTACAGTGTTGCTATTGCTTGCTTTGAAATCGTCGAGTTTATTAATCCAAAATCCGTTAACGTTTTATAAAATATGAAATAGGCAATTTAAAAACAAATTTGAATTCCAATTTCGGGATTTCTAGGTGCTCATATTCGTGTGGAGGACTACGTTATTCACACGTAGGGCCATCAAATTTTGAATAACGTAATCCTCCACCAGAACGTGGGCACCAGGAAACTCGAATTTTGAATTTGTTTTATTATCGATTCCTTATTTTGTAAAACTTTAACGAATTTTTGATTAACAAACTCAACGATTTCAAAGCTAGCAGTGGCAACACACTTTGCGGAATAAAGCATTTTTATCTCCAGCGCACGAGACTGTCTATCAGAAATTAAAGAAAAGATAGGCTATTCTTAAATATGTTTAGCCCAAATGCGTTCGAACGTATATATGTATGTAAATGGAAAAAACGCCCCTTTGGGCGCAATACAAAATCTGAAAGTTTTCAAATTTTTTTAAAACTAGCCTTTTGTCTCCTCAGACTTTGTTTTTGTATGCATAATTCGTCGGATCGAATGCAAGTGAGACGAAGGATGACCACGCAAGCGGCTAATCTTTTGTATAACATCATTCATAAATATAATTTTATTGAAAAAAAGGCTGGCAATATTGGAACCTGAAAATATTTTTTTTCTTGTTTCAGCTTCACCTTCGTGCCTCTTCTCTTGAAAAAATACTCCATGAGTCTTTATGTGCCTTCAGATCCACAGTATTTCCTGTTTCAGATTCGAAATTCACGATTCTTAGAATGCAATATGTCAAGAGCTGCAAACTTAACCACGACTCCAGATCCCAATTCGAAATCACTGGAAGCTTTCAGAAGGAAATTCATCATCTCTCTGCGGGAGCTGAAATCAAGATTTAGACCACTGCTACAAACATTCTGGATTTGGTCAGGAACGATGCTGGGTATGCGAATTATTGCTTCCTAATAAACGTTATTATGAATAGTGGCACTAACAAAGAAACCTAAAGAAAATAAATAAATTTCTGCTGGAGTGGTTAAAAATATAAAATATTTGCTGTTACGTTCTCGGTTTGAACCCAGTTTGCTTTTGAAATTCTTCAAAGAAGTTATTTCGTCATAGAAATATATCCTTTATGTCTTGCTGTAACTAATAAATCATATATAAAGGTATCTAAACACCTTCTGAGCACTTCGTTTTAAAAAAAAGTAATACTCAAACACTTTACTCGCATTATAGAAAGATACGTTATGAATATTTTAAATAAATTATTTCGGTTTTACAAAAATGTTTATAAAGTATAGAAAATCAAGGAAATTTTGCAGTACCTTCACAGATCTCTGCAAAACAAATATTTGGACTTAAGACTCCTAAAATAAAATATTTGGTTCTTTTTATTATTATTATTATTTTCTATTTAGGAAAACAAATGCAAAACTTCTCGCATTCTACAAAATATGATAAGAGGCTTAGAAAAGTAGATAAAAAGCTCAATAATATAAAGGAGATATAAGGCAATGATAATATTGCGCAATACAATAATACATTATCAAGATCTGGTTTCCACGACAATCTCTCTACTATGAAACTTGGTGGTAATACACATTTTCTGGAATCAAATTAAGGTATATTTTAATTTTATAACAGTTATTTTAATTCTGAAACCATTTCCTTTCAATTCTTGTTCCCACTTAAAAATTACTACCACAATGAGTTTTTAGAACAGCGTTGAATGCAAATGAGATAAAAGTATTTAAGGAAGGTTCAGCTTACTTTAATACAGAGTGCTAGGAGTCCCTCGTGGCGCTTATTTGCCTTCTGGCTAAATCATTCTAGAAGCTGTTACGTTTGGCCGTATTATACGTGCCAACTGATATTCGCCGGGTAGTTTAATTTAAGAGCCAACTACGTTAAATAATTGTGTCTAGCTTCGGCTAAGTCTCGTTTAGTTAATTTTAGCTTAGTTTCTTATTTTTTATTTTGAGTTAAAGCCCGAGAAGAGACTTTCCTGTAATCCCGAGAAGGGACCAACTGTGATTTTTATTATAGTGAATAAAAGGGTGTTTTTATCCTTCTCGAGACTATGCCTTAGTTGTTTTGAACTCGGCGATAAGTCGCTGCATAGTTCACTATTTTCCTCGACGTTTCATCATAGGCAAGTGGTGAGGAACACTACAAAGTGAATTAATTTCTGGTCTCAGAGACGGGAAAAAAAAATTTTTATCTCCAGCGCGCGAGACTGTCTATCGGAAATTCTAAAGATAGGCTGTTTTTAAATATTTTTAGCCCAAACGAACATTAGCCCAGATACTCTCGAAACGTGTATCGATATGTAAATGAAAAAAAAAAAAAAACACGCCGCTTTGGGCGTAATATAAAATCATTTGAAACCTTTCAGATTTTTATTCTTGTTTGTTATTATTTTTTCTTCAAATTGAAAATAAAAGTAACAAACATATTATGGTGACTAATATGTCTGTTACTTTTATTTCAATCTTTTATTTGACTCATTCTGGTATTAAGTTTTAAGTGGGAACAAGAATTGAAAGGAAATGGTTTCAGAATTAAAATAACTGTTATAAAATTAAAATATACCTTAATTGGATTCCAGAAAATGCATATTACCACCAAGTTTCATAGTAGAGATTGTCCTAGAAACCAGATCTTTTTTTTTTTTTAGTCACCATAATATGTTTGTTAATTTAAATCTTAAGTGCAAAAACATAGTATTTTCATGATAAAGAATGCGTTCACTATCGTGCGAACTAAATTTTTTCAAATAAATCCTTTTTTTTTTTTTTAAATTAACGACCATAATAACCGAAAGCTTTGGGTTTATATTTAATTTTCCTAGCTTTTATCGGTTAAATAAAGTAAAGACCACTGAAACATCTGTTTTGTTCTAAATCTAATAAAGCATTTAGTTATAAATCGAAAAAAGCTTTGTTGAACACCGTTTCATTAATTTTCCAGACATAACAGCCTATAATTACAAAAATACACTTTTGATCAAAACACATTAAATTCGGCTTCGGGGTGATTATAAAAAACTTTTATAATTTCAGTGTTCCTTTGTATTTTTGTTCTAGAAGGAGTACAGAAAAAGAAAAAAAGTTCGAATTAATATTGCTGAGAAAAGGGGAAGTTCGAAAGAAAAAATTAAAAACTCCCTTCCCTCACAACTAATCATAAATGAAGAAAAAGTAATATTTGCTAGAGGAAATTACTATTTTTTTTTTTTAAATCAATGCAACCTTAGTTTGAAATCAGGGCACAATCTCCAAAATCAATACTGTTCTGATTAAATCAGTTCGTTTTGTCACTTTATTTGTACAAGAAGTTTTGTGGTTTTTCTCATGTGGAACGTAAATACGAGCTATTTTAGAAAAATCTTTTGAGAAAGCAGTATTTCTGAGAAACATACTCCTTGCGTGCTTTACTATAATCAGTTACTACTCACAACTGTGGTAAAACATTACTATTATTTATCTTACGTGAGACAATATAATGAAAGATATGTGCAGGAATTCAGTATTGATTTATTATTGTGCGTTATATGGTAGGATTCATTGGACAATAGTTTAGCATTTATTTAGAGTTATACTTGCAGACAAACATCGCGTGCTTTACAGTAATAAATAATGTGATATATTTCAAGTCATAGTACCCATGAAAGCTTCAAAAATATTTTTGACTGATATGCGATAGTTTTGGCACCACAACACATAATGCATCAAAAAAGTTTTAGAACTGAATTCTTTTTTTTTTTTCTTTATCATTTCTAGTGAAGCTGACAAATGTAATATAGAAGTAATGTAAACATGTAGAAGTAATGACTGAAAATCCATCTCAGCTTACTATCTATATAACTTACTATCTATATAGTTTCTTAATGAAAGAAATCTATATTTTTAGTTTTTTATCAAATAGTCAGTAAATGCTATTATGGATTCAAAGATGAGAATAAGAAACAATAATGCTTCCTTTGCGGAGTGTAATGTTTTACAGAAATAAAGTTTTCACCGAAAAATGCTACTTAGTCAATCAGTTTATTGCAAAGAAAAGAGTAATTCTTTTACTGCAATCTCCTTACTCATCGAATTTGGCCCCTGCGGATTTTTTTCCGTTTAATTCGCAATTCCTTCGAATTTTAATGATAAGTTGAAAACATAATGCAAAGTAGAGAGGGCTTCACCTTCGACGTTTCAGAATAATAGGATCCAGAGGGCTTTTATCCCTCTCGTTTTTTGTTAATATAATCTCCTCTAATGAAGCTTCACTTTGAAAAATATTTTAGAGGAAATGTAACACTAAAATTAAAGAGCAGTCACAAAACTGACACTTCCTTGTACGAAGCAAAGGAAGTACTGTAATCCCTAATAATGTCGGTATCGTATTTCAACGAAAATATCAATTTTGACAGCTCGCGAATCCATTTGAACGCTGTTTTTGCATAAAAATTCTGCCTTCTTGGCCGCTACTGACCTTACTCCTCCGAATTATTGTGAAATCTAGTATTTTTGGAACAACAATAACCATAGAAAATGGACGAAACTAACAACCAAAATTTGTATTAAGCATATCATCTTAAAGTAAACCTTATTCTAGAATTGCTTGTTTTTGCATAGAAACTCTAATTTTGATTGTAAAATTTATTTTTAATCGTATTTGGTGTTTTAGGTTTTCCAGTATTTTACAGTTTTTAAAATCAAACATGTTTTGAGTTTTTACGTATTTTTGCTTTTGCCTGTTTTTGCCACAAAATGAGAACTGAATAAATTGAAAGAGAAATATATTGCTAATGAAATTCGAGGAAATAGGTTTAAATGAAATGAAGCAAAATGCCGTATAAGGAAGTCATGTGGAGTCCACATCCGATTTTTTTCTAAGAACTCTTTTAAGGTGCATATTTAGAATCGATGTGTGCAAAAGTCTAAACAGTGATTTCTTCCTAGAAGCTTCGATCTAAATTTTTTTGGTAGATACTGTGTAAGGATACTACCAATTTAAAATTGATTAGTTATATTGCTATCTAATTATTGGGGGGGGGGTTGTCATCTCATCTGTGAGATAATAAGTAAGCATTTATTTTAGAGTGAAAATGTGCCATGTAAGAAGACATTATTATAGAAAGACTGAAAAACTGAATAGAAGTATCTTTTTTATGATTCTGAATATTTCAGCTGAAATTAGTTCATAGAGAATAAATAAGTTATCAGAATTTAAAATTTACCTAAGCAACGACTTTCATGTTCTAAAAAAGTATTATTCGAAATAAATTTAATATTCGGTAGTATATTCACTTGAACAAATTCGTTTTGCAATATTCCTATAAATAAACCATATTATAATATTATGATATTGAACTATGCGGAAAAAATGACCACAGAATTTGTCTCCTAAAATATTATTGTTAGAATTCTAAAGAGCAAAAAAACTATTAGATATTTTAACTCTCTGCAAACAACAACAAAAGTAAGATTTGCAGTTTTTCAACAGATAATATTTGAATATTTCTAAATTGTTTGTAAATGTTGAAACATTTTTCTCAGAAGTGAATATGAGTAAATTGTTTTAATCAGGTTGGTATCGTCAATGCGACATAATCCCTTACACTACTGACGTGGACTTCGGAGCATGGGCCTCAGAAGTAGAGGATTTGGATGCGCTAGTGAAACTTTTCCTTAATGACAAACATTTATCTATCAGAGAGAGAATGGGTCTGGTAAGTACTAAGAATTATAACAATAAAGATTTATAGGATATATCACAAATCTAAACATCATACGAATCAAAAAATTTATACAAAATCAGCAGTTAGCATATCAGAATACGGTTTGTTGCCCAAGATTTATCACAGAGATGGAATTTTTTTTAAGCCCAAAGAAGTAATTTACCCAGACAGGCTATTTATTTCGCTTTGGTATTTAGTGTCGTCCACTATAAAACAACGTTTCACTTTTCAAATTGTTGCCACCAAATATTAGAGCCTTGTATTATATTTAAAGAAATTTTAAAAAGAAGAATCTACATGAATGTATGTATGCTTCTTGTATGTACTTCTGCGCCACCCTGTATAAGGTTTAAATGAAATGTTTGCGTTTTTCATTAGTTTTTGGTAATGCGAGTTCTACTAATCTGTGAAATAAAGCAATTATTTTACTGCGGCCCTGAAATTTTCCACTTGTTGAAGAGACTTCAGTGTAAATCTAATTTCACAATCGAAGAAACAGCTGTTCTCCAATTTTTAACAAACATAAGTATGTTAAAATAAGTTGAAAACATTAGCAAAATTTTGCAAAAGTTGTCTATTCTTAATGAAATATTATTGATTTTGAGAGCAATCGTTATATGAGTGCAGTCCTTATTACTGCCATTTCTGAAGGATAGTAGCTTTAAATAAATATTTAAGCACAGAAAGTCAGCAAGGCATATTTTCTGAAAATTTAGAAGTGTTCTTGAAGTACACGGGACGGGGAAAAATTATTTTGATTCCTCTCCAGCTGATGACCTTATGAATCCAGGCACAATGAATCCAAGACAATGAATCCAGACTTCATTTTCTCTTCTTTAATTTTTTCTTCTCTTTGTTCAGCACAACAGATTTTGACTGTGCAATAAAAATCCTTTTTTAAACTTTAATTTCGGTGATACATTTTGCAGTAATTAAACATATACATGAAGTCTATAATTAAAGAACCCTTTTCAAAGCAGTCTACAGGTGAAACCACTGATCAGAAAATTGTGAAATTTTGTGGCGGACTTAATGAAGGGAAAACAGAATTTCTTTCAGCGGAAATAAATTAGTTACAAATAACTTCACCAGAGGGCATTGTGTTAATAAATTATACATTTAACTACACCTTTACAATAGTTTTACAAATTTTGTTACTAAAAACATGTTCCCCATGATGGCAATCATTTTCAGCTACCGTTTGAAATAGCTAGATAGCTATGTTCCACAGTTGACCGAAGTCTGTGCTAGGAAATATTCAGCAGGTGGCCTGAAATGCTCGCTTTAAGATCAGGTAAAGTCTTGGATTGTCACGACTTACCAAATGTTTCAAATGTCTCCAAAGCCAAAAATCGCATGGATTGAGGTCTTGGGATCGATCTGGCCACATATTACGAAAGTGCCGACTGTTTTGGTCAACAGCTGTACTAACAAAGAGCGATATCGTAAACTTATCGTCCTAGTGAACAACAAGCGCATTGGAAACAAAGTCTCCGCGAATGTTTCTAGGCTTTAGGTAACTATTTGTTGCAACACGTCTTAACAAAATCGAACAAATAGGCAAAATTTTATTCACTTATTTGAGACACTTTACCATTTCACCAGGGCATCTGGTCTCTGTATTAAATTGAAGAAATAATTGTTTTCAATAGCTTTCAGAGCTTAAAACTTTGTTCCCACCTATGCTAGAACATTGATTAAAACTCACATTCAAAAAATAAATTAGGAGTGGTTTGTTAATCCCCCTTTTTATTTTATATAGCTTCTCAAAAAATATTTCATATTCATTTAAGAATTTCATCTTAAAAGTTATCATTTCAATTCAAGAAGTGCAGTTGTTTCTCACTATTCTGCAATAATAAGATAGCGATGCACTATAAAGTTGATTTTGAGGATTGTTATCTTATAAATACTGACTTTGACATCAAGTTTGGTAATAAACATATAAATATGTGCAGCAGATTATTATTCATAGTTTACGATTAACTTATAGGTTGATGAAGCATTAGAGTTTCAACTTCGCTGCTACGGATTAAGAGTAGACGTATTTTTCCTGTATAAAATACAGAATGGGACTTGGTACTCCGGTCATCGTTCAGGGCGTGGGTACTACTTCAGGTAATTATCCTTAGGCATTCCTTTTTAAAATCGTTTTATGTGTCATAGATTTATTAAGATAGTTTCTTTTTATGATTTTGGTCTGAATCAATAGTTTCTTTTTATATTTTTAATCTTAATGAAACTAAACAATGTTTTTTCATGAGAAACTAAATTATGCATTAAAAAAATGTGTACAAGAATATAATTTTGCAGTCTCAGTGGTTTTCTCGAGAATATTATCGAATGTAGGTTAAAGTCCTGGAAGAGAGCAATGTCTTGAGTTCAGAGATTAGCTTGAGAGCGATCGACCGAGGCGGAAGCTGTACTTTAGTGCTTTGCCATGAAGCTGTCTTCACCGTTATAGCCTGAAGGCTGTGTTGCTGAGTGTTTCAGCGTCTTTGTTGCAATTTTTCGACGAGTATAAGTGTGTCTCCCGAACTATCCTGTGTAATAGGCTGGCGAATAAATTGTGTTTTGATTTTTCATCAGATGTCGTGTGTATAACAAAGTGCAATTATATAGCTTCGAAGCTGCCAAAGACAGCTTTTGCAACCTTGGCAGCTCTATCATCATAAAGTAGGTCCACTGGGTCTTCAATTCCGATGTCAAACAGTCTGGCCTGGATTGCTGGGCAGCTGAAGATGTGATGGCGAGACAGTGAGATGTCATCTGGGCGATGAGGACAAATGTTAGTGTAACTACGCTGTCCGTCTGCAGAAATCTTCATCCCTTTTAAGTGATTTGTCCTAAGTTTGGTTATGATAGTCGATATGGCTCTGTCACAGTTCAATTCCGGGATGGAGTTTCCTTTAACTTGACCGATTAGTCTTTGGCTGGCAACTGCATTGGCATCAACGAGGGTTAGACAGTTGGATGGCTGAGGAGAATCACGGGATGCCTTTGCAAGCTCACCGGCCTTCTCATTAACAAAAATATTTACATAAGCCGGTATCATTGTAAGATGCAGATCTTGGGGCAGCAATGATCAGATGATCATCATCAGATGTTATCACCAATTACTCCAAATCCATGAACCCGTACAACGCAACAATATTTTGAGCAATTTTGCATTCAAGTGAAAGTTCTAAATGTAGAAGTATAGACCAGCTATTAGCATATGAAACAGGTTAATTGAAAGATAACATTAAAAATGTGTTAGGAGTTTGAAAGGTCCCTTTACATATAATGCAAGATTAATCTTTTTTCTAAAATTCCTTTTGGAAAATATACTAAGTAAGATGTTTCTAAGCATTTACTGATTATTGTTTTTCTTAATTTGGCTATTAAATATTTTCTACATAATTACATATTTAAATTTAAAATAGTAGCTTGACCTTTTATACAGCCAATTAAAATCGAAATACATCCTTTAAAAATTAGTGAATAATACAACTAAACAATAAATATGAAGGGAAAATAGTTTAGTAACATTTATAGACCAGAAGTTCGATTTATCTTACAGATTTTCAGATAGATCATTGTTACCAAATGTGCTACTTACAGTCTCCGAAATGCTTTAATATTCATTTGGTACATTAATTTATTTTTTCTCCTGTATTTTCTTTGCCATTTTGAACAGCTTATTTTAAATATAAAATTTTACGTTCTATATCTGTAATTTCTAAGTCACTAATTTTAAAACCTGTAAGCTTATCTTAAGTGCTTAGCCAGAAACTGTTTCTGGTATTAAATTGGAACCTGTTTATCAAGATCAAGCTGCATTATTGTAATTTTATGTTTTCTACATTTTTTTTAAATTTAAGTATTGTTTTTAATTTATTAAACTTTAACTTAAAATATTTTGAAATGTCATACTGAAATTTGAAGTTTCCAACTTGCAATTTATTCTTTTGTGCATCCGTCAACCTATATACATAAGTAGCCGTTATGTTTTTAGTCTAAAAATCGATACTCAGCTATTTTCAATGAATAAGCACGAGTTTGTATCCCCACAACATAGCTTTACTATTTTACAATGATGTCTATCTGTCTGTGTGTGCCGATGGTTTCGTCCCCAATAACTCTTATATGTAACTTCCTAAAATTCCGTTTTCCATATTAGCATGAATGCAGCTTTCTGCATTCATACGAAGAGTTGAGTAGATTTTGTGTAAAATTGGACAACCGGAAATGATACTTTATTTAAATACCATATCAGTTTTTATTAAACAACAGGAAGTGGCACTTTATTTGAAGCCCTTAACAGTTTTCAGTGAAAAGCAGTATTGATATATAATTTAAAACTTTTCAATTTTAGTTTTAAGGTTATTATACTAATCGGAACAACATATTAAATTTTGTCTAAAATTGGAAAATTGGAAGTGACACTTTACTTGAAAACTGAAAACAATCCTGGTTAAGAACAACATATTAGATTTTGACTGTTGAACCGAAAGTGGTACTTTATTTGGAACTTTTAACAGATTTTTTGTGAAAAATATGGATTCGCACTACAATAAGAGTTTAATCGAAAAAAATGGAGGACATATTAAGGCTATTTTTATTATATGCACGGTATTCATTTATATCAAGCTGTAGAACAAAATAATTTTTGAATTAGTTTCATTTGCTGAAGTTCAAAAGTATTGCTGGCATGTTAGGAAAACACACACTTTTTATTCTCTTCTTGAGGATGACGACACGCAAAAGAAAATAGCAAATTCGTAAACACCTGTTGTTTTACTTCATACAGATTACAGAATGCACGGTAATCACTCTGCAGCTGTAATTCCAAACACTAACGAACATTGCTTACTGATACTTAAATATCGCGGCGATACACGTATAGATCAAAATGAATTTAGATTTGTTGATACTATTGTTGAAAAACTATACCAAAGTTTTTCAGCTCAAAATTCTAAATTTAGAAAAAAGGTTTTACCTACCCCTTTTTCTTCCAAAGGTTCAAAAATCCGGGACGAACTTAAGAAGTAGAAAATCATCAAGCAGTACTTGAAGTCTATTCAGCGAAGTTTCTTGAAGAAAACACTTTTATTTCTCGTAAATTTTACGTGTCGAACACGGAAACAAACGTAGCTACAAAACAATGCATATGTATACAAGAGCTTAGACGATACAAAAGGAAGTTATGGCCGGTGTCGAATGTCTGTTTCTTAAACTGAACTACTGTTGCCAATTTTAATAAACAAAACCGTCTTTGTGTTTTTTTGTTTTTCATTTGGAGGCCATTTTTTACAACTACAGAGATACCTTAGAAGAAAAGTAAATTATGGTATTTGTTCGAAAGTATTTATTTTAAATATAATATAAATATTTTATTTTTTTTAATCAAAAACCATTTAAATTATGTTATTTAACTGTCCAATAAAATGCAATATTAAAGGAAGTAAAGGGACAAGCACTATATTTGACTATATTTATATAAATCTAGGAAAAAACAATCTTAATACATACCTAATAAAATATAATCCAAAATTTCGTATTGCAAACCTTTCTAATTTTTGAATTTTGTTTGCAAATAATCATGCGGAAGTGATACTTTACTTAAAGCTCGTTGTTATTTAAAACTTGGAAATAGAGGGACGTCATGTGCTGGTCACATCAGATTTTTTTTTAGATATGTATACAATACATTTTTTATTTCTTTTATTTATTTAGGTATTATCATCCAAACTTCACGCTGTGCTCTGGTGATCTATTAGGAGAAAGGGTTCAAGTTCCTTGTGAGACGGAAAAAGTAATTATTGCCGAATATGGTCCAGAATGGAGCCTTCCGGTGCCCAATTGGTATTATGAGTCTTCCATCAAGAACCGAGGACCTAACATTTATTGGGACAATTCTAGAGTTAAATTATCTTACAAAGAATATTCTTGACACAAGGAACATTTCAAAAGAACTAAGCGCACCGAAAATTCTATCAAATCTGTATTTTGTTAATAATAAAAATTGTACTGAAGCTTGTAGAACATGTTCACATTACATTATTTGTTTATATGTCTGAGTTAGGTTTTTACACGTCATACGAATCTTTTATATGACATCAAGTAGTCGAGTGATTTGGAAGAATTAGATTTTTATACATTGCTATTAAAGATTGCAGGGGAGGAATGACTGAAATTTTAGATCCTTAAGAAGTTAGTCGACTCAAAGTTTCGCTTTAATATTAAAACACTGCTTGAATTGTTACCACCAAATATTATCGCCCTGTATTTTTATTTAAAAAAGACTAAATAATGAAGAATCTGCATTGAATGTACGTATGCTTCTCGCATTGTGAAAAAACGGTAACTGGAGTCATCAAATTTTGAACAGTATAGTCCTCCACCCAAACATCTATAGGCCGAACATGGGCACCTGGAAGCCCGAATTTGGAATTTTGGGTTTTGTTTAATTGTCTATTTCATATTTTGTAAAATTTTAACAAATTTTTGATTAAAAAGCCCAACTGCTTCATAGCAAGCAGTGGCAACACTGTGGGGAATAAAACATTTTTACCTCAATTGCCCGAGACTGTCTCTCAAAAATTCTAAAGAGATGCTGTTTTTAAATATTTTTAGCCCAATGTAGGGTTAGCCCAAATGTCCTCAAAACGTGTATATGTCTGTAAATGGGGAGGGGGAGAACGCTCGTTTGGGCGTGATATAGCTTTCAGATTTTTTTTTATTTACCTTTCTTTTCTTTTCTTTTTTTTCTCTTTTATTTGCGTATTATTTTCTAAATCATTTATTCTTGAAAAGAAAATTCATTACGTACATTGCTTTCAGACATGAAGAAAATTAGAAATGTGAAATTACCGTCTTAAAATTTAGAGTGCCTAAATGTAAATCTTAATGATTCATTTAGTTTCCAGGTAGCTTTCTAAGCAGACAAGATGCCATTAGTCAGTAAGTAACAGTAAATTTATTAACATGCTATTTACTTCTACTCGGATGAGAAGCTTTTAAAAAGCCATCGAAGGATTTAAAGCTGTTATTAATAATAACAGCAGTTTTCATGAAGCTGGCGAAATAGAAAATCGTTTTGATAATATTAAATCACTCGTGTTTCCTATTTTTAAAGATGGAGTAGATTATCTGAAAATGAAAATTATTTTAGTATTTTTTACGTTTATGCACTTTTATTATATACAATGTGTTAAATAATTTTTGACTTATAAAATATCTGCAAGAGTTAGTAGTAAATATTTTGTTTTACGAAGCCAGAAAATGTGAAAATAGAATGGTTCTCTTATTGGGGATTCGAACTACGGATCTTCTAATTGCTAACTGGATGTGCGATCTACTTAAACCCAGACAGCGCACGAGAGAAAATGAGGTAATTTCTCATATCCTTTCTCAGTTAAAGGAGACTGGAGAGAAGCACAAGACCCAGTCGACCAAATTCAGCTGATAACAATTTCTCGCGCACAGGATTTTAGTCTGTGCATCACTGTACAGACTACTGTGTTATTTTGAAACTACCAAATTAACCTCTTTGTCGTCTGTACCGCGTCTAGCGCGTTCAAGTGAAACTTCCGCTGGGCGGCCGTAATGCGCCTCAAGCGTTCTTCTACATTTTAAAATTTTAAACGTTTAAAACGCTTTCTAAATGTTTACTTGTTTGAGTTTTTATTTTTGTTTGTTCTAATACCTCCTAGAGGGCAGCGCTAATCAGGCATTCTATTTCTAATTGAATTTGCCCCGGGTTTTATGAATATTCGTGCCATTTTAATATAACATACAAGACAGTGAGAGATGGCTTCAACGTCTACTCAGCAGAAAAAGAGAAAAAATGAGGTTGTGAATTGGAAGGATAAGAAGGATACACGTTTGATAAGTACAGTCCATAATAACTCGATGATTGATGTTGGAACACGGAAAAGAACTGTAAATAACCAATAATTGTAAAAGATTACAACAACAAAATGGGAGGACTGGACCGCCTGGATCAGATGTTATCAAATTATCCTGCTGTTAGAAATAAGCAGAGATATTATTATTTTTCCATTATGCTTTATTTCCTTATAATTTTACTTAATATTCATTGACATTCATTCACTACGAAAGTCATGTATGGAAAGTTATGATGTACAGAGAAAACAACATTCACGCTACGAAAAACAGACGGCCGCTGGGGGGAAATTTTCGAGGACAGGAGAGGACGGCGAAAGGGTTAAACAAAGCAACTGATCCCTCATCTGGATCCAGACCACAGATCTTCCAGTTGCTGGCTGAACGTACCAGTTCAAAGCAATTTAAATTTAACTATCGAGAAATTTTGTCTTCTATTACGGATCAATAACGCTATTTTTTTAATCAGTGAAGGTTTTTTCGTGTATTATAATGTTAACTTTATTTAGACCTTTTTTGGTTTCAAAAATAAAACTCGAGTCTAAGTCAAAAAATTGTGTATCCGTGCGACATAAGCTGTTTCATTAATCTTCTATTTATTAAATAAAAAATTTCAGCAGAAAAATCCGCCGATAGGTAGCGCTAAATGGTATTTATTTTCATGGTGTCTGCCTAAAACATCGCGGAGAAAACAACGTAAGATGAAAACGTAATGGGTCCTAATAACATTGAAACCTAATTAATAAAAACTATGTTAAGGTCTTAATGTTTAGTAGAAAAATGAGTGTAATATGTATAATTTAAATTTCTTGTAATTTTTTGTGGACATAATACATTTTTGGGCTTTGAGTAAGAAAAGAAGGTTTACATTGATAAAGCTACACGTCTTTTAAAATATGGAAAAGAGAAATACTGATTGATTATCCTTTATTTGCATAATCTAGTTTATTCAACACAAAATTTCCTATGTTCAAACAAAGAATAAACAACTGACTCTTGAAGGGCGGTATTAAACTGAAGGAAATGATTGATCGAAATTCTTGCTTTTGACAACTAAGAATAACTTGGAAACGGAAGCCAGAGCAATTTTGGTTTTTCGCAAGAAAGGAATAATGCATTAAGCTAGTAACTCCAAATGCTTTTACATGTTGTCACAGGGTAAGGTTCAAAATTAAATTCATCAATCACATCAACTCAAACTAATGATAAATTAAGTGTTAAAGAATAACTGGGAAAATAAAGCCTATACTTGTATTAAATACACTATAAAAGATGTAATGCCTGCTATCTTAACGATTTTTCAAGCGTCATTCTTTCTACAAGTATACGTTAGTAATTAGTGAAAGACTACAAAATGTATTAAAAATTAATTTATTTAGTAAGAATATTAATTTTCTTGAATCAGGAAACGTGAAAATTTAACAGCGTCCTCACCAGAGTATAAATAATGAATCTTTTAATTTGCAAACTTGTGGTGGTGCAAACTTTAAAAACAGTGATGGTGGTGGTGGTAATGGATTTCTAGCGCAAAACTCTAAAAGCCATATGTTTCAAACACTGGATTCATACTTTAACACACAAACTATTATATGTATAAAAAATAAGTTTAAAATCAACAGCACACTTATAAAATCGATACAAGTAGTAAGATTATTAAATGGCGGGATGAACTGCTGATTAAAATTCAGATAATGATATACGCGGTATAGATGTAAAATCATAAAACATTTGATTCATTGAAATACGCAGCATCGAAATTCTAACATGAAACCTAAAAACAAAATCAATAAATAATAGAGACCTGTTTCTTTCAGGTAGTAAAAAAAATTGGTATTAACCTCTCTTCCGACTAAACCGTCGAGAGGCAAGTCATAACTATTCAAAAACGTCTGACGAAGACTATTAAAATATGGTCATTCAATTAAAATGTGATGGACTGACAGAAAACGGAAGACCATCAATGAAGCAGCCGCATCATCATTGCAACTTTCGGCAAATAGATGCTCCATCGATGGATACCATCTACTATCTGCTGCACCAAGCCAAAGATGTAGCTTGGTGGTCAGCGGGCATTTATTGGGAATTTTTTACATAAGTATTTACATGAGTAATGATATAGAATTTTACGTTAGAGAATGTGTACAAACAAACATATATACAATTTTAACAGTAATACAATTTTCAGATGTGTAGATATATAGTTGAACAAGTATATAGATAAATGTAGCTAGCAAATGTAAGAATGTAGATGGAATAATATGCGACATGCGACGGAGGACGTGGACACCATCCCTCTACCAATACGGTCACTTGGTATAGCGCCACGTCCACCTTTATCTAGATAACCATACGTAGTCATTGTGCTAATACACTAAGGCATAAGCATACGTACAAATTTGGTACTTAATACAGTGTTAAAGCTACTTAATGTTAGACACTAGATAATACATTGCCATGTTACAAGGTGTATGTAAAAGCATGGATACGGTAGCATATATGCATAACGTGTGTACTCATATGTTGGGTACACTATAATCCTTTGAAGCATTATCATTAGATACACAAGACATGTACATACTGAAACATTAGGTGCGCAATATTATTCTAGAATAAGTAATTAGTACAGTGAATTAAAAGGTAGATCCTAGATTAGTATTGTGTGGTACAGTGTCTTGCTACTGGATTATTTTTGCTGTTTCCTAAATACATTAACCTATGTACAAAGATATTAACACATGTGTATTAGGTACACAATAATCAGTGGGTACCCAAGCGTTAGGTACGTGCTACTTTAACATACATTAACGATAGGTACTTAATACAATGCTGAACAGATAATTGGTGCAATTAATTTTAAAGTGGGACCCTAGTGTGATTTTTGCGATACGATGCCGTGTTACAGGATAAAATGCGCAGATGCATAGTTACATTATCATATACACAGAACATAAATTCATATATATATATATACAGACATTTTGAGCACAGACACATTAGGTACATGATTATTCAGTGCATAATAGATGTATATTAAGCTATACAGTGCCAAATTATATGATAATACTAGTAGATGCATGGATACAATTACATATAAACAAAGATATACAGACACATAGTTACATATAGACAAAATC